TTAAGACATAATAAATAAGTATTAAGGATGACAAGAAAGGGAAGAGATCAGTGATGACTGATATTCTAAAAGAAAGCTTCCTGGTAATAACTAAAGCAGCAGAAACTTAGATGATCTTAAAGAACAGGTAGGAAAAATGGAGAATATATGCTATGCTATTTAATAGTATGGACAAAAATAGGGATGAGTACCTAGTACTATATATGAGTCAGAACTGAGAAGTTGACTTGCAAGGAAGTCATTACCTTTTATAGCAAAACATGGAGAAAATGACACTGTAGAATGATATTTAAAATATTACAGTTGATTGCAAGTTGGAATAGAAAGATATGAAGACAACTCAGACAAATTATCTTAGATCAGTAACATGGCAATAAAGAAAAAGAAAGTATAGAATGAACATAGTTTTTAAAAGGTTATAATTTGGCCTTTGTAGAAATCATTCATTTAGCACTATTCACTTAGGTTGCTTATACTTCTTCTGCTGCTAACACAGTAAGACTACTTCTCCCATCCACCCACTCACCTTTTTAACATGAAATGCTTTACACAAATTTTGATGTCATCCTTTTGCAGGGGGCAGGTTAATTTCTGTGAAATATTTGCACATGTGTTCCCAAAGAGAGCACTTCCCCATTGTTTGAAAGTTACGGGAGCCTATGCAATGCAATTTGATATAACAAGTGTCACTTCAGGAAAGGACTGCAGAGCATTATGCTAAGTGAACTCAGTTCCATAGGACAAATACTGTGTAAGACCATTATTGTAGAAATAGATAACTTGTAAAATGTGTATGAGGACCTAAGTGGCAGGGGGAAGGGTGGGAGCTGAGGGGTGAGGATGAGCGGAGGGGGTTAATCATAGGTTCACACAACTTCATGGGTGGGGGGAGGAGTGGGTAAAGGAAATTGGAAAGATCTAGTGTGAAAAACAATGTATATGAACTCGGTAAATACACCAGTATAAAATAAAAATTTTGTATTAAAAAAGATGTATTTTTTTCATGCTTTCCTTCCAAGTTGTTTAAAAACGTTACAAATATTTAGCCTGAGCCTGTGTCTTCACATAAACGTGTAAAGAAAAGACCTGTTGTTTTTAGCCGTTGTCATGTGTTTTAGGAACAAAATGGCAACAAGGGCGAAGGTCATGGGTTGTTGTTGTTGTTATGTGCCCTCGAGTCGTTTGCGCCTTATAGCGACCCTATGTACAACAGCCCTAAACCCTGCTCTATCCTGTGCCAATGGCACTGTCTCCGAAACACCCATCGATTACCCTAGTCACTGTATCAATCCACCTCATAGAGGGTCTCCCCCTCCTGCGCTGTCCCTCCACCCTCCCAAGCATGATGTCCTTCTCCAAGGACCTGGCCCTCCTTACAACATGCCCAAAGTATGTCAGACAAAGCCCCAGAACCCTTGCCTCCAAGGAGTAGCCTGGTTTAACTCTCTCCAGGATGAATCTGTTGTCTTGGTAGTCCATGGTCCATTCAATACTCTTCTCCAGCACCACAGCTCAAAGGCATCAATTGTCCTTCTATCCTCCCTAGTCATTGTTCAACCCTCTGATGCATAACAAGTGATTGCAAAGACCATGACCTGTATCAGGTGCACCTTAGTCTCTAGAGAGACACCATTGCTCTTGAGTACTTTAGAGCGGTCCCTAACAGGTCATGAGTAAGAGACAAAAGTATCAGCTGTTGTGGTCCCTCAGGGAGCTCTAGTGGCCTCCTCCATACAGCTAACCTGGACGTTCAAATGAACCTGCTGCTGTTATCAAGGAAAAGATAGGCACTCTCTTCCCTAGTGATTCCAAAATATGCGCTAGAGGATCTGACTGTACGGAAATGAGCTTGAGTTTTGAAACTCAAAAATTTAAGAAGCAAAAACCTGTTGATTCTAGTTTCTTTAACTATGACTTGAAGAGGGGTAACCATGCTTGAGAAGGTGGAGGAACAGTGAAAAAGAGGAAGTTCCTCAACCAGGAGGATTGAGAGACTACAACAATGGGCTCCAGGGTCTAAGAGATGGTGAGGATGGCACAAGATAGGTCAGGGTTCAGATCTGTCGTTCATAGGGTCTCTCCGAGTCATCCTCGACTGATGGCACCTAACGACTAACAAGCTACAGGGTAAACCGAGGTTCAGATTTACTGTCCATAGTGTCTCTCAGACACGTAACAGCACAACAAAAAAAAAAAACACACCAGGAAGCATAATTTCCACAGTGTTCAGTTCGCCCGCGCTCTCTAGCGCCAGATAAAAGAGCTTTTTACTGCCCTGTTTAGAGAATGCTTCGGACTTCAGGTCTCAAATGCGAAACCAAACCTAGATGGTGGGCTGAGAAAAGGAACGGGAGGATAAAAGGAAAGGAACCTGACAGGGGGCGAGGCCAAGTGGGAACAGGAAGCCCCCGGAATGGGTGGGACGCTGGCGGAACCCAATCGGAGCAAAGGAAAAACCCGCGAGGCCCTCCTCTAACGGCGCTTCTCCCGGAAGGGCGTCATCATGGATATAAGAAGGTGCGCGCGGAGTGAGACTGTCTTTTACATCCGGGAAGCGTGGACTATTGTGGTTTCTGTTGCTTGCCGCGTTTTACCCGCAAATCGGGCTTTACATACTAATCGGGATAAAAGTTTGGGTTGTAGTTAAAATGGAGGTTGTCCTAGACTGCTACTTTAGCGATGTGCTGAGATTAGATTTGAAGTGCTCCTGCTTGGCCGGCGTGGGCGGGCTTGGACGCTCTTCGGGGCGCTCGGCGGCCACGTGCAGCCCTGGGCCTGGAGCTCCAGGTTGACGCGCGTGAGCCCGGCGCGCCGAGCAAACATGCGTAAACCTGGTGACCCGGGGCCAAGGTGGCCTTAGTTCTCTCCGTGATTTATGGACATTCGGGATCTACTATGCCGTAAGCACCCTACAACTTTGTGGAGTTTTCTCGGGAGAGTAAGTAGTATTTTGCCTGCTTGTACTTTGTGACTGAGATTGTGAGTGTCCATGTATCTTTGGGACCTGTCAGCCGTGGCAGTCTCCCTTCCTAGCCATGGAAGAGTATGTTCTTGTTTATTGGCAAAGCTGTAACCATTTAATTGGTATCAGATTCTGACTTGCACAAGCAACATGTTTACTTAAAAACCCGAAGTGCGCGTGGTTACTGAACAGACTTTCTAATGGTTAAAATCTTTGTAGGTTACTGATCTAACAGACTTCACAACCGAGGAAAGAAAAGGCTAAGGTAAGCTTCCGTTATTTAATTTCAAACTTGCTACTAAGATACCAGCATACAGACTTGTAAAATAAATGGCTAACCATTGGATGCAACTGACTGAAGACCCCCAACATGAGATAAATTCATTCAGTTTTATGTAATTTTGGTTTTTTTGCAGAGTCCCAGAAAATTCGAGTGGTTAAGAGGAGAGTGAAGTTTTGTTCTGCATCTTTCATTGAATCACCGAATTTAAAGTCTTTTTACTGCTGGTGACTGGATGTTGATGTTCTAGGAAATACCAGTGCTTTGTTTTATCAGAGGAAAGAATTGAGACAAAATGAAACCATAGTGGTTTTTGTTTGAGTCCCCTGCCCCTGAAAAACCCAATAAAAATACTTGTATCATCTGCATAACCAGTGTCCTTTGCATCATTAAATAGTTGAACTAATTACTGAAAAAGTTACCTTAATGTTTTCTGGTAAGTTCATTTCAAAGTAACAAGTGAGATAATTTTATGGCATTTTGGATCACTTAGTGTCATAAAGTTTACTTACCCTCTGGTGGTTTTGTTGGGGGGGGGGGGTTTGTTAGGGTTTACAAACAGGTTGATAGTAATGCATACTTGACTCCCGTAAGTCCTTTTGTAATGTTTGCCTTATCCCAGGGCATTAATTGTCATACACAGTTTCTGATACTCCATTCCTTTCACCCGTTCAGTGCAGTGTTCTGGCTGTAACATATTCTAGTGCAAGGGAGGAAATTGTCCAGTGAATTCGAACCACCTACCTTCATATTTTGTTTCATTCCAGACAAAAGTCAGCACTTAAGGCATAGGGACCATGGGTTCTATAATCAGGACCATTGTCATCAAATCCTCACTGAACTTTGCCTGTAAGTCCTTTGAGATAGGGGATTGATAATGTCCTCAGAAATGTCGGTTACCACAAACCTCGGTAGGTGGCACTATTCCATCATAGTTCTAAGAAGTTGGCATGCAGCTAAGGGATTCTGTTTACTACAAAGTTTAACACTTGGGGTGATGACTTGATGCTAAAATGAATTTGCTGTATGGTTGTTGGATGCCAGAACTGATTTTATAAAAATTAACTTATTACAAAGTGAGCTTTTAAATAAACTTTTATGCTGAAAGTTACAGGTAAAGTCAGAATGACATGTTAGCCTAAACAATTTTCAATGGCTAAGAAATAAGAGTATACACTTGAAGCATTTTACTGTTGGAAATTTTGATAGTAGTTTGTAATCTGACTTAATATATTCTGTCATAAAGTTTATGCATTGTGATGAGCATGTGTCCTTGTAGATTACTTATCTATTTTTAGTGCATATAAATGAGTTTCTTTACACTTTGGTTTACTTGGCCAAGATCAGATTTGAAACATAAATTGGGAATCCCATTCTTTGAATAAAAGTTTTATGACATGGGGTCTCTTAAAGTATGAATCAATACATAGATTGAATTATACAAGGTTAACAATCCAAACAAGTATAAAAACAACCTTCCTGTAAGATCAAAATACACTTTTGTGTAGAGAAGGAAAGATTCTAATCTGTCTAGTGAAACTGAGTAGACAACTGCTAATTAAGGGATAATATTACACCGAGGTATCTGTAACCAGTAATAATCACATCACAACTTCTCAAAAGCAGCAAGGGTACTTGAGTCCAAAATCCATTTTTATCACAAAGTAGAAATGTGGATCTCAGATCCTATTATCTCTGGCTCAGTGCTAATCAGGGAAGTTTAAAACTTCATCTTTTAATTTTTAAGTTTTTGAACAATTAGAGTTTGGTGACACTTTTTATCCAAGGTACAAAGGCTGAGACTTTGGTATAAACACCAGGAGAATCCTTTGCTCCACAGCCATAGCCCCAAGAGGTCACCCCAAATACAGCCCATGTCTCTCCAGGTCGTTCACACATGAGTGGGCCTCCACTGTCTCCTTGACAGCTGTCCACTCTCTGGGTTTCATGGAGGTTTCCAGCACACAGCATCCTCCCTGTGAACCGACCTTTATAGCGTTCTTCACAAAACCTCTTGGGAAGCAATGGGATAGCTGCTTGTTGTAGAGTTCTTGAATAGGCTCGTCCTGTTTAGACCAAATAATCTGAATTAGTGAGATTTCAGGCAATAATTCTAAAATGAACTGAGCAGTTATGAAGGCCTTGGGAGGAATAAGGGAGATTGATCCTTAAGGAGGCATTAGTTTTAAATTAGTCAAAATTAAGACAGTATCTGCCATTTTCTATGGCAGGTAATAATATTTAACCCATCAGTAATCTATTTTTCAGTACTGAATGTGGAATGATGGTTAACTAGCATTTATGGACTTTGTTAAAAAAGTATATTTTCTGAAGAAAAGCTGAGAATTAATTACTGCTACTTTTACATTGTTCATTCCACTAACAAGCATATGACTCATCAGTGGCAAATGCATAAAGTGATAGCTCCTCACTGGGAGCATGACATTGCAAAAGTATGATTCAGAAAATGTTGGGCATATTTTCCAATATATCACCTGTGGCTCACTGGCTGAGAAGAGTATTTGCTGGTAAACGGTTTACGTTCATTATTCCTTGTGCAGTGGCTAAAATGAATATATACCTTTCATGATAACTTTCTTTGATCGATCTTAGCTAGAATAACTAGTCCACGGTAAAACATGGTCCAAATTTACTTTCCTAATCACTTCTAATTCAGGTGTAATGTCCAAAGATGACTCTTATATTCGGTACACTGTATCCTCTCAGAAACTCTAATGAGTCAGCATAATATAGTGAAAAGTCGCTTATTTTGAACTGATTTTGCCACTATGATTATCTTTTGGGTTCTGGGGGTACTTAGATTTGCTCTGGTGACCTAGAGGTAAGGAATTGCACTTCCTCTTGTGGCTCTGAAGGAGAAAGATGAGCAATCTCTTCCTGTGAAATTTACAGCTTGTGAAACCCAGCGGTAGGGTCAATTCTGATTCGATGGAACAAAACAAATCTGCCACAGATGGTCTCATTTTCTTGCTTTGAAATAGTGTAAATCTTAAGTCTGCTTTTAGTGTAGCATGTGATAAAAGAACACCAAACCTTGTGGCATAGTAAGGAGTTCCACTGCCAATCCAGACACAGAGACAGATGGTTTGAATCTACCAGCTGCTCCATGGGAGAAAGATGGGTAATCTCTGTGATTTAACAACCTGCTAGAAGGTCAGCTGTGAGTCACTTTTGACTCAACACATAACAAACAACTGAAAATATCATCTGTAGAACATAATGGTTCAACATGCTTGTAGAAGACAATTATCAAAGCAATTCTTTTCAATCAAGAGTCAATTATTTCTCATTAAAGTCAGGTGCCCTGTTTGAAGACCTGTATTGAACATGGTAAGTGGTGAATGGGTTTGAATTCAAAGATCTAAGTATCTGTTCTCAAAGAATGCATCCATTAAAATCTTTTGGAGCAATTCTATGCTGTCACATGGTTGCAATGAGTAAAAATTGGCTTGGCATTTAACAATAACTTAATGGGGAGAGAAGAACGCAGGAGTATAAAGGGGATGTTAAAGAGAAGTATAAATGAATTGGACCTCTAACTTCAATCTCTGTAGTTTTGCTTTTTCTGTTCTATATTTAGGAATTTTCCATAAGATTTCATTTGATAAATGGCTCCATTGCATATAACAAACCATCAACCACAATGATTCTAAAAGCCCTTTGTTGAACTGGTTCCATTAAGATCATCTGGAAAAGCTTTTTAAAACAAATATAGATGCCAGACCAAAATCATGGGTGGAGTCTTAAAAATATTACACCTCTCTAATTTGGGGAACTAAATGATTCTGGGGGATTCTTTATTCCTTAAGTATCACCAGGGGAAATAAGGTCGAATATTCCACCTTTGTATTAAAGGCAACTGAATTACTGTTAAGTCTTAAGCCAACAGAACTCTTCCACGATATGGATCCAAATTATATGCATACATTTCACAACTGGTGTTTTCAAGCATCACTAATTCTTGAACACATTTAAAACTGACTACTACACTTGCAAATGAGTGGGTGATCCAAGGCAAGATGATATTTCGGAAAAAAACCTTCAAAATTTGTTGCTGTGGAGTGAGAACCACTGGGTTTTCCAAGGCTGCATGCAAGTCTGTTGGGAGGAAACTGCCCATCTTCCTCTGGGGAAGCTGCTAGTGGATTCATACAGCCAGAGATGCACTGCCTTGGAGTTGGCCATGCAACTCCCTGACAGACAATACCATCAGAGCTCCCTAGATTTCCTAATTATTTTGATTTATTTACATTACCTGTGTCTCCCCATCCTGTTATGTAACAATTTGGAGCTGTTTTCTGTGGCCTCTCTCTCCTGAGTGGTAAACAAGCTGGCAGAACATGGCTGCTGAATCTGGCGCATTGTTCTTCAGGCCCTTGTAATCGAACCAGGGCAATATCATAGTCACTGCTGTCTGGTCGATACTCGCGGTGAATCACAATCTGCTGAACACCAATTTCTTCTTCAAATTCCTCTGGCACTAGAGTATGATAATCTCCAACTCGAACAACGTAGTTCCTTGTGCTATTTCCATACCTAAGAGGCAGAAAGAGCTAATGAAGGGTCTGAGAATTGGTGATAATCAGCAAAAAAAGGTATCTAAGTCTCTGTTCAAGTCTCTTCCTTTTGTATATTGAACTTTTCCATATCTCAGGCCCCTTTATTTGGTCCTTTATTTAACAACACATTTTCACTCTTTTCATGTGTTAGTCCACATTTCTAATTCATTTCTGAGAAAAGCAAATATGGAGGATGAGTAAGAAATAAAGGAGGATTGGTAGACTCTCATTTGTTCACCAAAAGAACGATAATGAAAAGAGCAACAAATTGTATAGGACAAACTTAAAGTTCTGTATTTGCTTTCTTTCATTCTCTATGATTTCCAAGAATGTTCATTCATTGCGAAGCTCAGTGAAGACAGATACCATGTCTGATCTAGCTTATATCACAATGCAAAGCACAATGCCCTTCACTCCCAGTTACTGTCGTGTTGTTAGGTGCAGTCAAATAGAATACAACACATGAGTACAACCCTATGAGCAACAGATCTGAACCCTGTCCTATCCTGTGCCATCCTCATCATCTCTGACACATTTGAGCCCATTGCTGCAGTTGTTCCTGGTAGGTGCACTCAATTACTCCCTCTCCAATGAGCTGCACACCGATGCTGCATGTATAGGTCAGCCTATCATGACATTCCCTCAACCCATTTTAGTTCTAATGTTACTTCAGTGAGGTCTGCTTTCCAGCTCCCATGTTTCGTTCCAATCCTTTCTATGTTCTCTTAGCTCCCAGACCCCCAATATGCCTTAAATGGTTCTACTTTTCCTTTGTTCTTTAGCACTTACACTTTTTAACAAATTACCAAGCATACTAAAATTTTTTTATGTTTGTTATTCTTTAAAGATCCTTGCTGGCATGAATGATGGTTAAATAGCTTGGCTGTTACCGAAAAGGTCAGCAGTCTGAACCTAGCAGCTGAGCTAGAGGGGAGAATGGAGCATTCTCCTGTAAAGATTTCTAGCCTTGGAAACCCTGTGGGCCAGTCCCATTCTGTTCTATATTACCATGGATCAGGTTACTATCACAGGGTTAGATTTTTGTTGTTTGGTTTTCTTTTGTTTTTCTTCTTCTCTGACTTTACTTGTTTCAGTGAACTGTGTTTAAGGGCAGAGATCTTTGTTCTATTGGTTCATGCATGTATCTTAAATCTCACCAGGGAAAATATGGTCAGATATTCCACGTTTGTATTAAAGGCAACTGAATTATTTTGTTGGAAAGTATAGCTGAAGCCAACATAACTCTCCAAGGATATGGATCTTAGGTATCTTAAATACCTAAAATCTACCCCGAAGTAAGACTAAAATAATGTATATTTGCTGAAATGTGAATGAATGAGTGTGTGATCTCATGTTCATTCATTTTTTCCCCCCATGATAGTCAATTACATTCAAAACAGTGTTTACAAGATTGTTAGGTCTCAGCTTGTTCTTCAGGCAACATAATTGGATTCTGACATATCCACCATCGCAGAGTTTCTCAATTTTAGCACTATTTAGGGCAAGAAAGCTCTTTGTTGGCAGAATTGTCTGGTATAGGATATTTAGCAGTAAACCTTGCCTCTTTTATCAGATGCCAGGAGCACCCACTACACTATGTGTGACAACCAGAAGTGTGTCTGCTGCTTCAGATGACCCCTCATTTATTCCCAGGGGAAGTGAGATGGGGGAGAGGAAGCCAATATCATCCTAATTGACTATCATGGACTATTTGACCTAACCCACCTCCTGATTACTTCTTTTTTCTCCTTGAACACCTTGTTCACTGTCTTTGCTTCTACCACTGTTTACACCCTCTTGAATGACTTAAGTTTTTAGCATTGGTCTCTGCCTTCCTCGCTGCAATGAGTATATCTTCTACCTCATCTCAACCACCCACTTAGAGTGAGGTTTGTTTTCACCAAATACACTTCTGAAATCTTGATTTCAAGCAGTCTGCTGACATCACTAGTGTTTTATTTCACTCTCATTCTGATCTTGATTTCCTTTCTTACCTGGTTTGGGAAAGAACAAGCTGTCCAAGAGTCAGTAATTTGTAACCAGAGATGGCCTAAATTAACTGTAAAATTTAAATAAAATATATACTTACAACCATTTTTGTAAAAAAATCAAGTCTTACACTTTCAAAGTTGTCCTGAATTAAGGAAAAGGACCAATCCTGAGCCATGATTCCCACAGTCATGTAATCTGGACAATTTTTAGAATAGACTTACTGCATGAAATTTGAAGAGCACAAGACTAGGCTAAATTGTTAAAAAGATCTGTCTTCTAGAGTTCCTCTCCAGGACATGCAGTTATATCCTTCAGGAATAGCACTTTGGCAGAAGGTCTCAATATGCCAACTTTGTAATCATCTGCTATGGTTCTAGACTCTTTAGAGATTCTGTCTTTCAGTACACTTTAGGAAGTTTTAAGTTATGCATTTGTTACTTTGTTAGATTCGTTTATATGATAGTAAAATATACTTCTAAAATAAACAGCTCTGGTTTTGGCTAACACATCATTTAGTTTGCTTTGTTAAAATACCTTTGACTCCCCCTCAAAAACTGGCTGAAATTTCCAGACAAGCTTGAACAGGACAAGATCTGAGAACAAGGAAGAACCTAACTTTAATAAAAGAGTTTTAGTAAACTTAGATTCTTCCTTGTCTCTGAGATGCCACAGTTAAAAATTACTTAGAATTAAAAATGAATGCATTAACAATTAAAGTTGTGCAGTCATATCCTTTATTGTGTATTTTCTCCATGGATTCAACTCTACAGGAAAAACGGCATCTCTAAATAAAAGCATTTTACATCAGCCTGTGCACATCTGCAACTACTAAACTGTGTTTTTCTCTATTGTCTGGATAGAGTTCAGAAAGTGGTTAGCTGAAGTTGAGCTTTTAGAAATGGTTCCACTGGCATAAGCAGAAGTACTCTTGTCTATAGAACCTTCCACTGTGCCTTACATACATAGTGTGTGCTTCAGAAATGGTTTTTGCGTGAATGATGATATGTTGTGTATCTCCAAAGACCATGCATTGCAGGATTCTGCTCAAACCTTATACTAGGTAATGATGGAACATCAGATGTGTCATGATAACACTGTGTTTCTAAAAGGTCTTGTGACTTCTTTAGTTCATTTTTCTAATTACAGAGACTAAGAAATTTCTGATTTTCAGAGCAACAGTCTCTTAACAATTTCCAGCTGTTAGGGTGTTTTTAAGCACAGAGCCAGAAAGATAAAATCAAGTCTTGTTAAGTTAAAGTCCTAGGAGAAATACAGTAATAAGAAAGACGTTGTGTCAGGTACATTCTTTTCACCAAAATTTGTGCTTGTTCTCAGAATAAGACTTTAAAAAGGAATTAGTTTAATATTCAGGAATTTTTCTGTCAATTATATTGCGGCAACATCACTGTAGACAGAAAGTCATTGCATGGCACTGTAGTAGTGACTTAAAATAGAAAACAACAAAAGCAAGCAGTTTACAAAATTCATAGCAGAAGTACAAAGTTTCCTCTTCTACCTGCCAGCAGTATATTACATTCCAAAGTCTGCACTGCATTAATACTAGGGGGAAATATGAACAATAAAAGACAGAAGACATTTAAATAATTCACCCACTACCTCAGATACCATTCTTAGGCTACACACCACACATATGAAAGCTAGAGTGGGGATTCCTATGAGCCTGGAGAGAGGATGAAAGGCACCCAAGCGTTGAGGACTCTCCTTCATAGGGTCGCTATGAGTTGCCTGCGATGCGATGGCACTTAACAACAATAACATCAACAGAGAGAGAGAGATCAGCTGGCCCAGTGGACACAAAGCAATGCTACCAAGCCAAAGGTGGGTGACTTTTAATTCACAGCCCTTGGGCCTGTCTTTCAGTGTTTTTGTTCAGACATTGCTCTAGGTCGTATAGCCCTGGTGTACAAGTTGCCATACAGCAGTCACTTGAGGTTGCTGTGAGGCTGAACACTGTGACACTGATGTGTCAAATGCATTAATTGTAGGTCATCCAATGCTGACAGAGTGGGGTGGAGCTCCCCAATTAAAACAAGCTTGGAAGGAGGAGTGGCATCCACTTCCGTAATAGCTTGCCTCCGGAAACCCTATGAACCTGGTGAGAGGATGAAAGGCACCCAAGCGTTGAGGACTCTCCTTCATAGGGTCACTGAGTTGCCTACAACTCGACGACACTTAACAACAACAAAAACAAGAGAGTGGGGATAGGCAGATCAGAGTTGCAAGCCTTTCGTAAAGGGGAAACGGCAGACCAGAGTTGCAAGCCTTTCAAAAAAGTACCTACATTTAAAGAACCCACAAAAATGAGTGAATGGAAGCTAGCTTAGCTGAGTAACTACATTCTGACTTCATCCTTCTCAGGCTATCATTCCTAGATTTATATATATATATATAGTTGTTGTTACCAGGTGCTATTGAGTCAACTACAACTTGGAGTGATCCTATTAACAACAGATCTGAACCTTGCTCTATCTGTTCCATCCTCATCTCTTGAACCCATGGCTGTAGTCACTGTATGGATCTGTTTTGTTGAGAATCTTCCTCTCTCTCACTGACTTTCCACCCTTCCAAGCATGATGTCTTTTTTCCCAAGGACTAGTCACTCCTAACCACATGCACAAAATATGTGAGATGACATTTCATCACCCTTGCCTCTAATGAAGTCCCTTGCTGCACCTACTCCAAGACATGATTTTTGGTTTTTGGTAGTCCATTAGCTATTCTGCCCTCTTTGCCAGTATCACAACTCAGAGGCATCAATTCTTGCATCATCATCATCAGTCATTGTCCAACTTTCAGATGCATAGCAAGTAATTGAAAAGAGCATGGCTTCAGTCAGGCACACCTTAGTATTCACACTGATATTGTTGCCCCTTATCACCTTGGCAAGGTCCTTGAAAGCAGATTTACCAATGCAACCTGTCTTTTTTATCTCTTGGCTGCTGGTACAAATGGTTTTATTATGGA